ATTCGAGACGCGTCGGCTGGAAGGCCACGCAGATGGCGATGAGGGCGTACATCTGCTCGTTCTTCTTGGTGATCGAGTCGTACTGCGCGCTCTTCTGGAAGTTCTTGGTCCTCGAGACGTAGACGAGGATGTGGCTGAACATGCGGATGGCATCCGAGTAGCGGTGCATCATCATGTAGGAGAAGCCCACGTAGTAGTACGTGGTGAAGTGGGCCGCCATGACGCGCGCGAACATGGCCTTCTTGTTGAGCTCAATGTCGTCGAGCGTCTTGAGGGCGAGGCTGAAGTCGCCGAGGAGGCAGTGCACCCGCAGGAGACCGATGATGGAGAAGTATCCCAGCATGCGGTACAGGTTCTTGGATCCGTACTCGCCGGCCACGGCCATGGGGTCCTCGTTCCGCTTCATGGCGCCGAGCTGCTCGGTGATCTGGGACCGCTGGATGAGCGAGTACAGAACGTTGAGCACGCTGTAGCAGCCCCACGTGTTGGGGTTCTCCTTAAGAACCTGGAGCTCCTCCTCGTTGTTGTTCTGCCTCGCGAGACGCATGCGGTAGGAGCAGAAAGAGTTGAACTGGTAGATGAATTCATCGATGACGTCCCACGCCCAGTAGTACTTGGAAAAGAGTCAGCCATGCAGTCCGACACGAATGCTATTTTTGCCCCTTTCCAGACAAGAGAAAACCTACTGAGGGCGGCTCGAGGTCGACGGGTCCCCTCGCTGTTCAGGATGAAGTGGAACAGGCTGCAGTAGGCGTCGTAGCTCTGGAACTTGACTTCGAGGGGAGCAGAGAAGTCGAGGGGCTGAGCAGCGGCAGCGAGGCGCGACTGAATATCGTCGGTCTGCTGGGCCATGGTCATCGAGTTGACCTGCTCCAGCTCGGCACCATCCTCATATTGGACCTGCTCCTTGTAGTCGGCGACAAGGGCCTCCTCCTCAACATCGCTGTCGTCGCCCACGTTGCGGCGATCGCCGTTCTGGTAGCCGCTCATCTTGTCGAAGAAGCCTGCGTTTCGTTCGATGGGTTCTGGCTGGCTTTGCGGGGGGAGAGGGGGGAGTCGTCGGGAGTCGGGTCGGAGGAGGAGGGGGGGGGTATCTGGCGACGGGCGGCGATACGTGCGAATCTGGCGTGCGAAGTTTTGAGCGGTATTAGGGTTCAGGCGCCATAGGCTGGTTTCTACCGTTGCCCAGAAATTTGCTAGCGAGTGGCTGGAGCCAATGAAGAGCGGGGCATCCGCTTCAGCCACAGTGCCCCTCGGCAGGGATTGCACCTGCCGGCCATGCACCTATGCAGAAGAAGATTTTAACGCGGATAGAGGGGTAAATGGCGGGGTCAGTTGCTGTCGTCACTCTGGCTCATCCTGTGTATTTTATCATGAGAAACACGACTATTTTCGCCATCCGGCCTTACCACCATTTCTTGGATCAGAACGGGCCACACTGCAGGGCTCATTTTTGTCAACTTCTTAGTCTTTGGTGACTCCTATGTGCTTGGAAGGGCTGTTGACCAACGCATCTTATTGGGCTGCCATCAGGCGCATGACATGCATTCGGTGAATTAGTCACGACAAGATCCATCGATAACCTGGATCTTACTTCTTACTTACACAATCCATCTCTCGGCGAAGGAGCTTATATATCGGCGAATCACTTGTCAATATCCTCTCAAGTTCAGTGCTACTTGCGACGAAGGCTCATTTGATACCCCCCTTGCACCCTTGCACCATCCCAGCGAGCAAACTCTTTGAATCGTCCTCAGAGCACCCACCCACAATGCCGGTCGTCTCATCAGAAAAGCTGGCCAGCTTGCAAAGGCATTCCAGCGATGTCCGAAATGTATGCCGGGCTTTCCCTCGTCCGTCGAGGCTCCAGCTGACAGCCATAGATTTGCATCCTGGCACACGTTGATCACGGAAAGACATCGCTCACAGATGCTCTCCTCGCCACAAATGGCATCATTTCACCAAAGCTCGCGGGCAAGATCCGCTACTTGGACTCCAGGCCTGATGAACAACTTCGAGGTATCACCATGGAGTCCTCCGCCATCTCACTCTACTTCTCGATGCTCAGGAGAAACGCCCCCGATGCGGCACCGGAAGCCAAGGAGTACCTCATCAACCTCATCGACTCACCTGGCCACATTGACTTCAGCAGTGAAGTCTCCACAGCATCTCGACTGTGCGACGGTGCTGTGGTCTTGGTCGATGTTGTCGAGGGCGTCTGCAGTCAAACAGTTACAGTACTACGCCAGACCTGGATCGAAAAGCTGAAGCCATTACTCGTCTTCAACAAAATTGACCGACTCATCACCGAACTCAAGATGACACCAAACGAGGCCTATGTCCATCTCAGCAAACTCCTGGAACAGGTCAACGCTGTGCTAGGAAGCTTCTTCCAGGGCGAGAGAATGGAAGAGGATCTCAACTGGCGCGAGAGGATGGACGAGCGGGTGAAGGCCGCTGCTGAAAAAGAGTCTGG